GCTGTTAGGGCGGGGCCTCGGCTGGGGCGGGGCCGGAGGCGGGGCCGGCGTTAGGGCGGAGCCGGAGCTGGGGCGGGGCCGGAGGCGGGGCCGGCGTTAGGGCGGAGCCGGAGCTGAGGCGGGGCCGGAGGCGGGGCCGGCGCTAGGGCGGGGCCGGGAGAGGGGCGGGGCCGGAGAGTGCCCATGGCCAGACTGAAGTGTGACCGTGCAGTGGAAGGTCTCTGCGTTGTCTCTGCCTTGTCTCTGCAGCCCCTTTGGATGGCAACAGTTTTCCGCTGTTTGAGATATTGTCTAAACATAGTAAAAGCCCTAAAAACTGGCAATGTGCCCCCTGCTTTGTGTTGAGGCGGGCTAAGTGTGAACATGACCAACACATACATTTCAAAGCCCTGTTTCTGCTTGGGCAGAGATGCATCCCACAGCTTGTGCTAAACTGACAAGAGGCCATTGTGCTACATCTGCTCCAGTGTCTGAACAGCAAGTGCCAGCCATGAACAAGCTGCTTTACACAACAAAGAAAATCCCGTGAAAACCATTTTTGAAGACTGAAACAGGACTGAGACTAGAGATATAATGATTTCAGTGTGTACAACAGATGGCGACTTTAGAGCATGGAGCCACTAATCCATGGATTACAGACTCCCTAATTATAGACTAACGTTTACCATTTATGAGAGGCACTTCTGCCAAGGGAGGGATCTTGCAGGTCAGTGCTCAACAGCTGAATGCCATTTTAAGGATAACTAGGGAAAGCACGGAGATTGGAAAACGTACCATTTTCTTGGTCATTTGTGTCTTCAAATGCTGCATGGAGTTCTGGTCCACTGCAGATCTTGAAACTGGAACACACCTGGTGGGCTTGATGTGCACTCAAAGGCAGGACCTCGGCTGCATCTTCCTGAGTTCTGGCCTTGGAGCAGATGAAAACACTATTCCCACTCCTTTGTGCCTTATTTTGTCCCAGTCAGTTATATAACAAACAATAGAGTGAGATGTACAGAGCCCACAAAACTAGCACTACACTCAACTGATACCTTTGAGCCCCAAGACACAAGAACTAAAAGCAATTAGCAACCAAGCAGGTAACCCCATGGTCATGGGCCAGAAAATGGTCATCTATTAACTAAGGTCAACAACACTTTTCCTCCAGATCCCTAACCCTAAGAAATCTAATTCACACTATCAGCTAATCTCTGTCTCACTTGCTGTTTCCAGACCTAGCTACATGATAATGACTGGGAGAGAAAACAGTTTTGGCATTGATGAACCTGGAGTGCTTGGCTGGAGCCAGCAGGGCTTTGAGTCCAGAGCCCTCAGTGAGACCCTCTCACCAACCCTGCTTCCTGTTGCACCTAAATTAATGATAACTCTTTGGTTTACTTCTGGCCTTATACTACACCAACCTACCTTGTAAAACGCAGAAATTAACCTAATGCTATAAATTGCCCAAATTCCCCAGCTGCCTCAGACACAGGAAAACCACACATATTTGAGCCACGTATGGCACAGAGAAACAAACCCACTCAGTAAAGTTTTGAGTTCCCAAGCAAGTGAGACAAACTCCCTCGTGTGCTGGGATATCAGCTGCTGACTCAAGTGCTTTAAATGCTCTGGTCTTGAGCAGACTATTTCCTTTAACAACAAACTGTGATAAAAATGCAGTAAGGATCATCCTAGCAAGATCCTTCTGCAGTAAGGATCAGTGACTCATTAATTCTGATTTCTTTATAATAGCCATGGTTATGTGCATTCAGAGATTTGAATGGAACTGGAAGTCTTTTGTTTGTACATTCTTTGTATGTTTTCAACCACCCCAGAAGTTAAGTCATGTTAACGTGACACAAAACATACTTTATAAAACAAGATTATTATTCTGCTTTGCATGGTCCAGGGGAAACATAATGAGCTTCACTTCCTGGAGACAGATAAAGGAGGTCTGAGACCTGGCAGAAGACAACATTTTTCAACAGCAGTTTCCAAGTTAGTGATCTGAACTCCTGTCCAGGCATGCAGAGAATACAAGTAGATAGTTTTTAGGATTAATGGAGAGACTACACTGAAAAAGAAGGTGGAAAAATGACAGATTTGGAAGTGCTTAGCACACAGGAAAATCAGTGTGTTTTCATTAGTCATCTAAAATAGGTTTTTATGAATGGAAGCCAAGGAAATTCTACATGATCATTCTGACAAGTAGCAATGGATGCAGTTATATTTTAGGTCCTGAGTATGCAAACTGTGATACTTTCCTTAATTTAAATCCAGAGAATTATTCTAAACTACAAAAATATCATTAGTCATCAGTGTAGAATGTGTGAAACACTTCTTCATGAGGAGAACCTGTCAGGGTTTAACCCCAGCCAGTAACAAAGTACCACGCAGCCGCTTGCTCACTCCTCCTCCAGCAGGATGGGGAAGAGAATCAGAAGGTAAAGAGAGAGAACTCATGGGTTGAGATAAAGACACTTTAGTAGGTAAAGCAAAAGCTGCACACACAAGCAAAACAAACCAAGGAATTCATTCACTGTTTCCCAAAGGCAGGCAGGTGTTCAGCTACCTCTAGGAGAGCAGCGCCCCATCCCACACAATGGTTACTTGGGAAGACAAATGCCATAATCTAAATGTCCCCCCTTCTTCCTTCTTCCTCCCATGTCAGATATGAGCACGGCATCATCTAGTATGGAATATCCCTTTGGTCATTTTGGATCACCTGTCCTGCCTGTGGCTCCTCCCAGCCTCCCAGGCACCCCCAACTTCCTTGCCATTGTGGCCGTACAAAAAGCAGGAAAAGCTTTGGATCTGTGTAAGCCCTGTTCAGCAATAACAAAAATGCCTCTATATTATCAACTCTGTGTTCAGCGCAAATCCAAACACAGCCCTGTACTAGCCACTGTGAGGAAAATCAACTCTACCCCGGCAAAAACCAGCACAGAACCACAGTAGCTTAGAACCACAGTAATTCTCTCTGTCAGTATGCTTTAGGACTTGCCTTACCCTGTTCCCAGCAATGCTTCCTCAGCTGCAGACCACTCAGGGATGCCTACACTGTCCCCAGCACTCCACTTTGGGTTGTTCCATAGCTGCCCTTGTTGTTAGAGTTCTGCCAGGAAAATCTGGTCCTTTCTTTATTGTTGTGGAAAGTGCTAGTGATACTCAAAGGAAATATGTGAATGCATTAGAAACTATCACTAAGTAAGTTTCAAACAAAGTAAAGTACAGAAAAGGCACACACTCCTTAACACGATTAATGCATACATATTACATATCCATAAGACAAGCCAGAAGAGAGCAATGGGCAGCTGTATGAGCTGGAGGTCAGACCCCCTGCAGCATTAGGAGTTCCAGAGGTGATGCTGGAAAAAGCCATCTGTGTAAACCTGTTCATCCAGAACCAACACACTCTCTCAAACCAGATCTTGGTTTTGAATACAGATAGAAACCATTGGTGCTAAACTTTCACTTCTGAGAATTAAGAAGAGATAAGAACAGCAAAATCAACCAAGTATTATAGTAAAAACCTACAGAAGTTTGGGCTTCTTTGTATACGAAACAGAGAACTTTTAAAGCTGCCAGTTCCCCCAAGATCCTTCTTTAAGCCCCAGGTAAGCCAGCCAGTAGTTACAATTGCTTAACTGATAGGAGCTGTGAAAAGAATTCAGCTTGGCAGGAAAGACAAACCTCTGTTTTTACATTCTCAGCACAGAAACTTCAGAAGTTACTGTGGTATCTGTTACTTGGATTTTTATCAGCTAGCCTAGTCACTGAATGAAGGATTTGAATATTCTGAGGGACAGCCACTTAGTCTAAACCTGTAAGGACAAACAATGGATATGGTACCAAAGACTGTTCAACCTGCACAAATGTGTGGGTGACACACACAGGTTCCCACTTATGTATCAACATATATATTAAAAACACTGGAAAGGTAAATCACTAACAGTGAATCAGAAAGGGCACAATGCAAAAGTAACCTGCCATGTTCTTAGCCATGTTCTAGCAAGAGAAATCCCTTGCTCCATAGCAATGGAACAAATACAGGGAAAGGGAAAAGGATTTTAGCTTCACAGAATGTGAGTGGTTCATTTGGCAGTTATGGGTCTGAAATT